CTAATACCGTAAGTTTTGAAGTAAAATTAAATCGATTTTCGCATTTCTCGTCAAAAATATTGTTCGTATTTTCAAAGCTGCATATTTTCTAAAATAATGGATCGATTTTCAAAAAGTAAGAATCGATGTATAGAGAATTAAAAGCCCTTTCTAATGACCCCCCACTTGACCACCATTCCCATTTAAAAAAATTTGGGGGATGGCACCCCCACTTAGGGGTTTGAAGATTTTGCTATGCTTTTTGCGTCAAAAGTTGTCCCCCTCAGAAGCAAACTTTACCTGTTTTTGGATTTTGCCGAAAAGTTCATTTTTACCCTGTAATGCCTTGCGGTACGTTTTCGATGGGCTACCCTGAATATACCAACTTATATGGATATATTGGGAGTTGTGAAAAAAATTAAAAAATTGACAGTCATACGATCAGCCCAGGTTTTTTTATGAAAATAGTGTAGATATGTATCATAGTTGTTGACTGTCAACAGAGTTTTTTGACGTTTTGATGATTCTGTAGAATTATTATTTTCATATACATAATATTATTGTGTGTTTCCTTAATATCGCCTAATGTATCATTTGCTGTTGTGAGACAAAAATTAAGAGACGACGAGACGACGAGGAAGGTGTAAAGACGAATACTTCTCCTTGAAAAATTGTTACTATTGTTATTCTCAAGAAGCTGTGTATTGTATTGCCAATTAAAACCCTAGACAAACATTAAAAAGACTACAATGGTTTTACCTAATCAAAAATCTTACACTGAAAAAAGCTTATAAATAAAAAATACGGAATATATTTACATAACTATATATCGCGCAATTTAATAAGCCTTTTCATAAACAATGTCCTAATGAGCGATAAATCTGGGAGTTTTGTTGAAAAACATTGCAGTACCTACTTTATAAAACACTTTTCAAAGCACACCCAAAGAATGATGTTCAAAATTTAAAGAATTGCATGTTTTATAACATTCTCTATTAATGCAATAAATGTGACATTAGAGAAACACGAAGACTACATTCAAAAGCGAGATTTTGAGAAATAAAAAATTTGCGATTTAATACAATGAAAATTTTGGAGAAGGAAACTAATACCATTAAAATAAAATTAGAAGATACCGCTATTTTTTTATTCAATGGTGAATGTTCTTCTTCCTAGTTACTTTGTGAACTTGGATCCTTATATTAGCTACAAATACCAAAAGAAGAAATCAGTAATAATAAAATAATAGTCTGGAAGCAGAAAAAAACAATCACATTATGAAACAAAATAAAGTTGTCAAACAGAAATTATTTTAAAAGTTACTGTCATTCTGAGTATCGAAAACGAAAACAGATTGATTTTCGAAAGACTTATAGAAGTTATGTGTATTTTGTATTATCTACTTGTCTACTTTTTCAGCCTGAAGTTTTTAGTAAGACAAAAATAACCCTTGACTGATCCTTTAACGGCAATGATTTATCATATGCCCAATAAATAAGGAAATACGAAAACTATGCCACAAATACAAAATTTCAAACAATAATGAAAGCATTAATAAATCTCCATATCCCTCACATAAATCGGCTTTACATATAATTCAATGTTCTACAAAGAACGCTATTGTATGTACCTCGCCGAGTTTCATTTCCTCAAATGTTGCAAAAAACCAAATCATAGAAATGCATAATAATTCTGATTCATGGTGTATGTCCCATGGATATAAAATAAATTCAAAATATCTTCATTACAATATTTTTTACATTTTTCTTGTGTATCAATACTTGATACTAAATAGTGAATGACGATATAAATATTATTTGTCTTTCAAGGTACATTTTATCATATTTTTAACGTAATATTTTTGAGAATGCAAGACAGCCGCAAACACCTGAGGAAATCGAAACAATACCTATATTCGTGAAAAGAGAATTTGATTTTCTATAATATGGTGCCAGAAAATATAGTGTTCTATTTGAATGTAAAAAGTTTTTCAGTTTTAAATTTTTAAAATGTAACGTAAAAAATGGGATACTTAGTATAATTTTCTTCAGATAATTTTGATAGCGGAATGTAGTGGATTTTATGTTCTTTGTGTGTTCCGAAATGTTAGTGAAAACTTCCAGAACGAAGAAAGATATAAGGAATTTTCGAAACGCTTGCATCTGCCAAAAGTTTTACAAAATATCTCTTATTTTGAAAACAGTTGGATTTAGGTACAGAAAAGCTTATTTTTGACTTATTTTTAATTTATCTTCTCGATAATGCAATAATATATAGGGCGTTCCAATTAAAATAACGAAATTGGCAGCTTCTTCCGGTACAACCGGAAGTGCCACGTTGATGGAATAATTTTCATTGAAGAGAGCATAAGCCCCGTAAACTGAATTTCAGACTCATATTGTTTTTGGTTTCTCTGAAACGTATAATAGGCCACTTTCCGTGAAGTATACTGTATACTTATAATGCAACAAAAAGAACTTAATCATAGAACGGAAAAGAAAAATAATGAAAACAAAACTGGAATGAAATGTGCATAAAGGCTTAGCAAAGAATATTCTTCAGTAAAAATTTAGAAAACGTTTTCCGTATTTGCTAACAGAAACAAAAAAAAAACAACTCAACAGACTCATTTTATTTCATCTTTTGTAGTAACTACAACTGCTTTATTTTTGAGAAATATTAGTTCATTTCGATTGGAATTTTAAATTTATTAAACTTTTCAAAATGTATCAGTGCTTATTATTAAAACCCTGGTTTAAAATTTCAGTTTCAATTCTTATTAAGGCTTGCTTTAGTGGTTATAAATATAATGCGATTGGTACTTTCAGACAACTCAAGAAGAAGCTTCTAAGGATTGCAAAAAGTATGAAATGGAACTAGTTAGCATAATGGACAAGAAAAAAAGCGACGACGTCATTAATCTGATTCGCAAAAATTTAAATCCCGGTAAGTTGATAACTGATTTTTGTTTCATCTAGTTTTAAACGACAAAAACAAACGACAAAAACGAGGGAGATAGAAAAGAGATTGTAGACAAAAGTAATAATAATAATAATTAAAAGAATTAATTATATGTATATCTTTTAGTAAAAGATGATTTAAGTTTTCCTCTAAACATGAAGCTTTACACGGAAACAAATGTTATTATATTTGAGTACTATTTCCTTAAATGATTATTCACTATAATTGATTTAGTTCTCAGTATCATTCGAGAAATGAAGTATTTATTTTTGAATCGAAAACGAATTTGATTAAATTACGATTGCTTGTGAAAGCTGCTACATTATACACTATTTCTGCAATAGTGTGTGCCTTCAAAAAGATAATAGAAGACGTGAATATAAACTATTTTCAATTAAGCAACACGTTGTCTATAAAGTGTTATGCGTCCCAGAAAGTTAATTATGTATAATTATGGGAATCTTAGGCAGATCCTGCTGCTCCACTTTACCATAAAGTAACTAGTTCAAGTTCAGAGTGATTGTTTGTACGGTGCAGGCGCGGACGCGTTTTGGTTTCTCTCGTACACTGCGTATTCATTTATGTTCAAAATTTCTTATTTATTAAAGAACGGGAAGCGCGAATGTAATTTAAAGATGACTATCGTTTTTATGCGAATCATTACACCCAACATCAACAACTGAATCCCAAAACAGTGCATATGTAACTATTCAAAAACTGCAGGAGTTGAATGTACCCCACGTATGCACTTCGTGGACAAGATGATTGCATCAAATCTTAAAGAGGAAGGAAAGCATTTATCGAGAAAAACCCGAGCCGCAGTACCCGCGATATTGCACGTGAAGTGTGTGTTAAATATTATAAGGAGTGTGTTAGCGGGAGCTGTTACTGCACTCTTGTCGTGTACAAAGTGTGCAGGTTTTGATTGCAAATGTCTTTCAACCGCGTGCAGAATTTTGTCGTTAGTTTGGGCAGAAAACACTGAATATTTAGAATACTTTCTATCGATGTGATACTAATTCTCCCATTGTACAAAATTCACGTTCCACCTAATATAGCGTTTTGGTCCTATAAGATTTAAAAAGTATAAGAAGGATACTTAACTTGACAGCGAATAATAAGTATTGTTATTCTAGTATTGTATGAAACAGGGGTTTATTAAAATTGTTGGACATGTTAAAAAACTGAACTGTTGCAACTGGATACTATTAATACTGGACATACATTTATCCATCTATAAATAAATTGAATCTTGTGTCAAAATATTAGAAGACAGAGTTAACAGACAATTAAATTTACCCAACAGTTGAAAAGACAGATCTTAAGACAATTGTTAGTTAAAATTATTTATTAAAATATCGTTGCACAGTGATATGAGCTGCGGTAGTTAAGGTGGCAAAGGCGCTCTACAAGAATTAAACTGGGGCAATCTAGATATTCAGCTGTTGCAAGACCTACCCTCAAAAGAAATTCTTATGAATTCTGGAGTTTATATTTGATTCAATGAAATAATCAGTTCAATTTCCAATGGAAAAACGAAATACTAAATTTTCCCGTTGTATATTTTTCAATTTAATATTAGGTACTGTTTAATCAAATAAGTTTTACTTGTAATATTCCTAGTCTGCATTTACAGTTTGATCTTGAACAGTGTTTTGTTAATTCAAAAAAATATTGTAAATCTCTTAAATAAGACACGGATAACTGTATTGTAAAATATGATCTTTTTTTTATTTGTAAGGAGCTTTTTTCAGCATCCACCTAACCTGATTTATATGAAACAGCGGTGCGCACCTTCGTAAAACTTAATTTTCCCAGCTATAAGTTCTGTGCAGTATTTTAAATTAATAGATCAGTATCTGTATATTAAATGAATCATTTTATTGTTTAGATATTGAAAACTTCTTCTGGACTTCCGCAAAAAAACAAGCCAGTGGCAAGTGGATCTGGGGAGAACATCACCCGATAATTTATACCAACTGGGCTTCATCCGAACCTAACAATCTAGGCTTGTCTGAACTTTGTCTGCATTTGTTTGCCAATGGTCAATGGAGTGACATCAAATGCGATGATAAACTTCTCTTTATCTGTGAAGGACCCAACGTAGATAGCTTTGATCAGTGTGAATCACAACCTGCTCCAATTATAAACGTATACGTCAATAATAATCAGAAGACTCACCCTACAAACACAGCGGATACGTCGAATGAGGTTGCTTGCTCGTGTACCGGAGATGGTGATGCTTCCCGTTTGATTCAACCTCGCTTTGGTCATAACAATGGGAATTAAAAAAATAAAAACTTCTCAATTTCGAACTTTCAAATACACTGGAACGCTGGAACAGCAACCTGACAAAATAATCCGCAATTAAGTCGTGTTTATATGAAGATTGTATATCGGTATCTTGAAAATAAAGTATTTTATGTCAAAATGTTTTATTCTTCTTCTGATTTACATTACCTCCATAGGTGATCGCAATGCTACTCTGTACGGTTTGTGCGATCGAGTAAACTTGAATGCTCAAACTATTTCTGTTGTATTTTAACTCTATGAATGTGAAGATAATAGAAAAAGTTGCCAAGCTTCCTATTACTCCTTATTTTGTGTTCAATGGTAGGTACTTTTACTCGTATATTTTAATGATTGCTCCCAACATCTAAAAGTTCTAAGTTTTAACCTAGTAAAGATGCAGAAAGCCGCAGATTTTAGCGATTTTGTGTGACGCCAGTCTTCATTATAAACACTTTCGAGACAGGTAACGAAATGTTTAGGACTAGCAATCATTCATTTTTTAACTCGGTTTTAATAGAAGCTTGGAAAAACTCATACATTTTTAGAGCCACGCTGCAAGCAAAAGAACCCCGCAATGTCTTTATGAAAATGTGAGCTCTGTTAAACTGACTGAAATTGTCGTAAGTTGTTGGTTTTGTGTTACTGACCAAATGTCTCCACAGTAGTTGGGTTCATAAATCAGTTTTTTTCCTACTAATAGCGGTCTGAGTCAGTTCTGCTGATGATGACTGCAAAGTAGTATGAGTGAATATTGCAATATTGCAACAAAACTTTTGCGAATTGTTTATGGCAAAAATTGCTTGCTAATTAACATTTTTGATATGTGGCCAAACTGGCCGTGGCCATGTTAGCAATAGGCCGGCCAGCAATAAAAACGGGCGCGCGGCAATGGCACCACGATTAAACGTGAATCCCATGCCGCGCGCTCCAACAGTGTCTAGGTAGTTTAGGTATGTCATTGTAATCTGAGGGGTTATTTCTTTAATTATCTACCTTTAATTACTTATCTATTTAATTCTCGAAAGAGTTACTATTTAATTCTCGAAAGAGTTACTATTTAATTCTCGAAAGGGAGTTATTTAGTTATCGTTATACTTTAATTAACACGTGGGAACTTAGAAATGTTGTATGTCCAGAAAATGCATTTCAGTCACTTACCCTTTCATTGCTTACGTGGGATGTAATCCAGTGGCTGGCTATACGGGGTAGCACTGAAGTTGGAGAAACAAAGGAAACACAAAACTTCCAGGAAGGGTTTTATTAACAATAAACAAAACAAACAAACAAAATAACAACGCAACGGCTCGACGACATTATTAATTAATTGATTCAATCGCTACAGCGTACCGAGATTCAGGGAATGCGCGCTTCATACAAAATTTAGAAAAACTATCAAAATTAATTAATTAGCCCGATACTTTAAAATTAATAATTAGTCTGCTCAATGTGAAACTTAAGAACGAACTGACTTTTTCGAGATCCTTCCTGAATTCCACAATTCGCTTTGACCACGCCCATTTCTTGGGTCCAGAAGTTTCGGTTCTCATCTTATTGGCGAGAACCCTGAATGTCGGCATGCTTTAATAATTAGGTTAATAATTATCTATGGCTTGACTTTACATTTATATAAGAATAATTATATGACTAACCCTAACCTTCCCTATGACTCCGCGTAGCAATTGCGGGACGGATTAGTCGATCTCATTTAATCTACTCTTATAGCTTGGAAAAATCCGTCAAAAAAACCAGCTTACTAATATACTTTTATTTTCAATCATTATCTATTTCACCATTTAATTTGAATCCTAATTGGAATCTCTACGCGCTTCCCGCGGTTTCGCGCGTTATTAAAAAGATGGGATTCTACGCGGCGTCTCTCAGACGCACCAGATGACTACCATATGGCCCTGACTCTAAACGAACTTGTTACAAATATTGATAATTTTCTCCGAAGGACTGTCCTGGCGACCTACTACTTGAAAACCATTAACCCTCCGATAATTTATGATGATTGAAATATCTTACTTTCCGAGAACTAATAAATAAATGCCTGCGCGTCCCGGCTTTTGTTACATCATAATATAAAACTGAAACAATATTTTTACCAATACTTCGTAGGTAATTATATACCACTCTTCATAAAACTACAGTTAATACTACTCCTAGATACATGTGCAGAAGAATGAAGTAAGAAAATATATTATTGTAATATTTACACACTACATAAATATATTCTGTTTTAAAATTAATAAACAAGCTCTATTTTACAAAAAATATTAACTGTCTTGCATTTTTGTCGATGGTTTTAAATAAAATTAGGCCCGCAATTTACAAAAAAATGAAAAGATACAAAATGTTGCAACTAGACAAAATGGAACTATTCTTAGTTTCTAAATGATGAAAAAAATTCAGAAAAATTATATATATAGACGAAATATTTCACAGAGACGTAGATGGGACTCTATACTATCGACCTGTCACTATTAAGTTAGGAAAAAATAGTTGATACTCGAGCTACGCGAGTTGGCAGGCGGGCCGTTCGTGTAAAAATAGAGTCGAAATATGTAAGAATGCCGGCCAAAAATCTGAAAATTCAGTTTTTGGCAAAAAAACCTACAACGCCCGTGCGTACCACCCTTTCCTTCATAGCCGACGGAAAAAGTACGTACATTTAGCAAAAATTCTATTTTTTTCGTTCAACCGACTGCCGCGAATGATGAAAATCGTTTCATAAACTTGGTTTTTAAAAAACTTTATTTCTGAAAGATTTATAATACGAGTTGAATACAATGAAGAGTATAGCAGAACTGAACTATATCATATTAATACCTATATTTATAGGTTCGTATTAACCTGATTGTCTTTGCACTTTTTCATAACATTATTCCTCCCTCCTTAAATTGGAAACAAGGGTGGAACCTTTGTTGACTGTCCTCGTTGGTAACTGCGGGTTGTCCTTTGGCTTCTTTGTTAAGGTATTCGAATATTCTTCTACCATGTATAATTTTGGTTTTTTATTTATTTTGATATACAGTTTTCCTCATCACTGATATCCTCTGGGTAACATATGTAAATATTCTCTATTTCTGGGCATTCGTTATCCATGAAATAATCTTCTGAAGGATGGGTCAATAGGAAAGGCTTTTTTGGTATTAATATTTGGTTATTTTTTGGTATAGGAAACAATTTTAAATAATTGTATTTTAAGTTCTTTAAAAGTGGAAAATGTATAGCAATTATAATATTATCGTCTTTATAATGTAATTGTGAACTAGCAATCTTATAATAAGATTGAACATTTCTAAAATTTGGTAAAGATGGTTTTATCTTTTTTATTAATAATTCTAAATTTTCGGCAGACATTATAGATGGGTGTAAGATATTAAGTTGTGCAAACATTATTGCATTCTCTATACTATCTAATATTGAATCTACAGTTTGACATGTGAAAGCCATTAAATCTATTGAACCAAATAGTTCGTCAGTAGTTACTATTTTTGATAGATTATTTACTCTTGAAATTAGTTCATTCATTTTATGTTCCATCAAATTTTGGTTATTAACTAGATTGGTAACAGTTTTATTATATTGAGCAAAAATTTGCTTTGTTAGATCAATATTTTTTGTCCTGGGTCAATATGGTTTTACTTAGTAACATGAGAAGGGCCAGGGACTGGAGAACTTGCATTGTCTGTAACAACAGATTTTTTCTTTAGTTTTCTCTGAGATTGTATTTTTGATTTATGATAAGTACGTTTTTTAGTTTTAATTTTATTATCTAAGTCTTGAATGACTGTTATTTCCTTATATTTAGGATCAATTTTATTCCTAGGGTCTGATTGTAAATATGCGGGTCGTTC